CTACATTAACAACAATTTCTACCACTATGCCTTCATCGCTATTTTCGACTGGCATGAATACACCACCGACAAAAACACCAACATTCCAGAACTCCTCAAATACTACAAGCCAGACAACACAATCCTTAGCTACAACAGCTACAAGCATGCCTATAACACCAACTTCAAAAGCATCATTGGAGATTTCATCTACTCTCAAAATCGTATCTTTAGGAATGTCAACAACTTCTGCTGGTGTTCATTCATCAGCATTTTCAACTAGCATTCCTACACCAAGAACTACGACAGCAACAAGTATTACATCCTCCCCAGGCAAAAGCATATCAACAACTGCTGCAACACCTTTAACAAGCAGATTTACACAAGGAGTTACATCAACAGCCCTGAATTCAACGACTGGTAAGAACATATCAACAATTACAACAACAGTCTCCCCTAATACATCCCCACCATTGTTTTCACCTGGCTCAACAACTACATTACCAACTACCACATCGACGAGTCTTATTTCTTCAACAAGTGGAAGGTCATCGACATCTACAGAAACCTCTTCAGCAAAGTCTTCTACTTCAGGTTCAGGTACAACAATGAGCAACCTATCATTGCATGTTTCGACACCAAGAGTCCAGACTACCACTACTGGTACAGGGGCATCTACTTTATCAACAATTTCTACCACTGTGCCTTCATCACTACTTTCGACTGGCATGAATACACCACCGACAAAAACACCAACATTCCAGAACTCCTCTAATACTACAAGCCAGACAACACAATCCTTAGCTACAACAGCTACAAGCATGCCTATAACACCAACTTCAAAATTTTCTCTGGAAATTTCATCTACTCTCAAAAGCGTATCTTCAGGAATGTCAACTACAACTTCTGATGGTATTCATTCTCCAGCTTTTTCAACTAGCATTCCTATACCAAGAACTATGACATCAACAAGTATTACATCCTCCTCAGGCCAAAGCATGTCAACAACTACAGCAACTTCTTCAATAAGGG